TGGTGTCTAATGCAGTCCTCTGGCCTCCAGGGCTACTTCATGCACATGAATGCATACATGCATGCAGGCAAGCACATAAAATATAACTAAATAAATATTTTAGAAAGAGCTGTGGACACTCAGAGCAAGCTGGGACTGGTGGCACATCCCTATGATCCTGGCACTCTCAAGGCTGAGGCAGAAGAGTCTGTAGTCCAAGGCCAGCTTGGGCTCAGAAGATCCTACTTTTAAAAAACCAAGGGATGGATGTGCAGCTTAGCAGTGGCAGAGTACTTGCCTAGATGAGCAAGGCCCTGAATTCCACACCTACAAACAAAACAAAGTAAAAACAAAACCCACCACAACAGACGCATACCTCAACAACAACAAAAAACAAGCTACCTAATTAAAAAAAAAATGAGTAACGGTGCTAGGCGAACATCTCCAAAGAAGGTCTACAAAAGGCCAACAAGCATTTAAAAAGATCTTGATATGCCGGGCAGTGGTGGTGCACGTCTTTAGTCCCAGCACTTGGGAAGCAGAGGCAAGTGGATCCTTGTGAGTTCGAGGCCAGCCTGGTCCAGAGTAAGTTCTAGGCCAGTCTAGGTATGAAGTGAATTCCGGGATAGGCTCCAAAGCTACACAGGGAAACCCTGTCTCAAACTCCCCAGCCAAAAAAACAAAAGGTCTTGACATTGGCCACTGAGACAGCTTTGGCTTCCATGGGTAAAAGTGCTTGCCACCAAGCCTGATACCTGAGTTCAATTTCTTGGGCCCACATGGTAGAAAGAAGTAACCTATTCCCAAAGGTTGTCTGATCTCCACATGTATGCCACAGAACATGTGCACCCCTCCTCCCACACGGGTGTGCCATGGAAGACACATGCAAATAAATGAATGTAATTTTTGTTTGTTTAGACAGGGTCTCTTTATATAGCTCTGTCTGTTTAAAATTCACTATATAGATTAGGCTGTGGCCTCTGACACTGAGATTGGCCTGTCTCTTCCTCCTGAGAGCTGGTATTAAAGGCCCACAACACCACACCTATCTAATATGTAATAGGGTTCTATGATTTGGAAGTCTTAGTCATCAGTTATGTCAGTTTTCTTTTTTTTTTTTATTGTAACAATACCTGAGGTATTCAACTTAATAGGAGAGTTGTTGGGCATTGCAGCAACTCCAATCCTTAGTTGGTTAACTCCATTGCTCTGGGCCTGTGGCAAGAAGATGTGGCAAAGGAAGCCAATTTACTTCATGGGAACCAAGAGGCAAAAAGAGAGGAGGGACAAGGGCAAACCTTAAAAACCTAACTTCCTCTCACATGCCCCCCCATACCCTCCCATCTCCCTGGCATCTCAGGGCCATTGTGGGGAGGGGGCATTCAAGATACAAGTTATAGCATTTGTAAAGACAAAGGAAACAAGATACAGAGAAAATAAAACCAGTGTTGTCAGCATGAGAAGAAACCAGAGACCTCATGCATTGCCGGTGGGAAAGTGAACTGGTATGTTAGCTGTAAAATAAGTCACACAGTTCTCAACTTGTTTACAAATGCTTTAACCACAATTTGTTTTTCTGTTCTGGATAGGGAACCTAGGGCTCTATGGACGGTAGGCAGACACTCTACTTGGCTATGTCCCCAGCTCTTTAATCAAATACTTTATATGACTGGTGGCCCAACAATAGTTTAAACCATCCTAGAGTCATTAGGTTCACCTCTGATATTTTTATACCAGCTGAGTAGCGTTGGACCAGTCACCTCCTGTCCGAGACTGTTTGTTTTACTAATGGGGGAGAGGCTAAACACTTGACCAGACATTTCACCAAAACAGATACACAAATGGCCCAAAGGCATTTATGTCAACAGTCATTTCTCTCCAGGAAATGAAAATTAAAACCAAACAAGGCACTTGTCCCTTACCTTACAGGATCAGTAGAATGGAAATGGCAATCGAGGGGGCCGGGGCTGTAGCTCAGTGGTAGAGCATTCATTTGTATGCATGAAACTCTAGGTTCAATATCTAGCACTACCAGAAATGAAGTGCTGGGTGGATGATGAACTCTGGAGGACTCAGTCACTGCAGGTAGAGATGAAACTTGATGCACCCACACAAGAAGACTTGCAATTTCTATGAAATCTAGACTGTGTATGCAGATTCACAGGGACCCCACACTTAGATGTATTACCAAAGGCAACATGAAGTTACACACATCAAAGGGCAGGTCCAGGACTGGGTCTATCGTGACAACCTCAAACTGGAAAGGTTGAAATTCCCAGTGATGTAATGGATAGTAAGTTGAAGCATTCAAACTACAAAAAATCACCAGCAGTTATAAAGGTGAAGAATCTATAGTGGTTTTCAACAGGGGTCAAATATCAGATTTACATTATGACTCATAACTGTAGCAAAATTACAGTTATGAAGTAACAATGAAAATATTTTTATGGTTGGAGGTCACCACAGCATAAGGGGCTACATTAAAGGGTCGCAGCATCAGGAAGGATGAGAACCACTGATCTACAGCTACCCAAAGCAACATGGAGGACACCAATAATGTTGAGCAAAAAGAAGCCAGACTAGACATACTCAAATTGAATACTAACTCGGTGAGTCTGGCTTTATAATTAAATGAAATTCAAAGTCATCCCTGCATATATAGTTTGTTCAAGCTATCGCTACATAGCATAGGCTACATGAGTCTCTGTTGAAGAAGAAGAGAAGGGGGCAGACTGTAGAGATAATTCCATGGTTAAGAGCTTGCTGCTCTTCCAGAGGACCTGAGTTCAATTCCTAGTACCCACATGGCAGCTCCCAACTGTCTGTGACTCTGGCTCTAGGGGTTCTGATGCCCTTTCGCACATATGGTACATGGACATATGTTCGGACCAACATTCAAAACATAAAATTAAAAACAAACCTTTTCACCAGGTGGTGTGGTGCAGGATCTTTAATCCCAGCACACAGGAGGCAGAGGAAGGTAGATCTCTGAGCCCAAAGTCAGCCTGGTCTACAGAGAGTTCTAGAACAGCCAAGGCTACACAGAGAAACCCTGTCTCAAAAAAACAAAAAACAAACAAACAAAAAAAACCCCAACTTTTCTTCAAATACTCCAGCTTTACACATCTGCTATATTCACTTACTTGCATGTTCATTATACAACAAAATAAATAAACATCTTGTAAACAAATGGTGGGATTAGGAATGTCAGTTCTCGGGACTGAGCCCTGGACCTTACACATCCTAGATAGGCTCTCTAACCACTGAGCCACATCACCTCCCCTAAGGCCAAGATTTTTAAAATCTTTTTCCCATAAAATGACATCATTCTACCAGGCACTAAGTTAAATGTTTTTCATATAATTTTTCGAAGGTCCTCTCTGTTGCCCTCTGTGACAGACATTATACTGAGGAAACTAAGGCACAGGTATCAGGAATTTGCCCAAGTCATGTTTCCATGGAGGATAGGGTGGTGGCTGTAAATCCAGCCTGTGGGGGTCAGATGCCATGACTGAACTATGAGGATAGGGTGGTGGCTGTAAATCCAGCCTGTGGGGGTCAGATGCCATGACTGAACTATGCTTTCCCGCCTTAGCTGAGATCTTGGCGAACCAGCGCCTGAGGGAACCAGGAAGGGTTCGATGTGACTTGTGTCTTCTTGGTTGCCTACCTTTGGCAACTTCAAGCTTCCCTTGGTTCTGAGAGGCTGAGTTTCTTTGCTCTTTGAATCTGTGTGACAGACTGTAATGTCATTGCTCTCTTAAGTGTACCCAGCATTTACTGAAGTTCTTACGTTATTCTCCCAGCAACATTAAATGGTAGACAGCTGAGAGACGGGTTTTTGTTTGTTTTTTGTTGGGGGGGGTGTCTAACTCTGTAGTCTAAGTCGGCCTGAAACTCAAAATACAGCCCAGTGGAAGGGTGAACTCATAAGGATCCTCCCACCTCAGTCTTCCAAGTGCTCAAGTCATAGATGGATGCCACGAAGCCTGGCTGATGTTACTTCTAAAACAGCTCATGTTGGAGCCCCAGAGACCTTTAAGTTGTAGCAGAACTAAGTGGCAGTTTGAATTGAAACAATTGGAATTGAAAAGTTATTATGAACAAACTGGTCATGCATACATTGGTTCCTGGAACAGGCTAAACATAAGGTTCTATAAGAAATATTTCCTTCTGTACCCAGGCCCGGTACTTTCCATTGCCCCTGTCCTCATCCCCCGCCCTGCCTAAACCACTTTATAAAAATGAAACCTTGCTAGCTAATAAACGAAGCCTTGACGCAACTCAGACTGACTCTTTACGCGCTTGGCTTCCACTTCTCTCCCCCCGTTTGACTCCTACAGGTGACACCCGCTCGAGACCCAGTAAATAACCTGGCCTGCTGGACGGGTCAAGCTCAGACACACAGCCTGAGGAATCCCCGTGAGCCCTAGGCTAGCCTGGTTTACACAGTGAACCCCTTGACAGGAAAATATAGCCTCTCATAATGAGACTCTGCCTCATGCCCTTCCTACAAAACACAAAAACATTGATCTGTACCTGTCAAATGGACTGGGATCCTCTTAATGAGACGTATCCCTACTCATTCCCTTTTTGAAAGGCTCCCTGGTTGCACAGCTTCAAGAGAGTCAAAACCTGTCACTTTTATTCATAGAAATCTATGACCAAGTAAATGGTTAGACCTTTAAAAAGGTGTCCACCAGGCTCCTGCTTTGCAAGCGGGTGGGGATATTAGGAATTTGTGAAGCAAAGCTAGGGCACTCGTGTCCTAGAAACCTGATGGGTAGGTGATGATTTAGTCAGTAAACCAGAAGTTAAACTTTTTTCAAAGATGCTTTGCTTTTGCTGAATATGTCTGTAAGAATTGTCTACTAACATACTTACTTCGTGTACATCTAGCGAGGAGTATCATTATTAGCTGTAACGTTAGCTGGTGAGAAGTGGGGCACATGTACGCATCCTTTGATGATTATACAATTATTAAGTTTTGCCAATAATGAGCAAGGAATAATTAATCAAAATGATTACAAAAAGAATTTATTAGGCCACCATATCAATAAAAACAAGTCTAAGGAGTTAGTCGGATCGTTGCTGGGCCTTTTAAAGAAGTCCAAAGTCAAACACTTCAGATATCACCCTCTGACAGTGTAGAATGAGGAAGGGTTTCAGCGACATCACAAGGCTAGGTCTCCACTTCCTCTGAAGTCTATGTTCCGGCCCTAGGAGAGCTGGAGTGAAATGTTTCCCACTCAGTACAGGAATTTGACCTCCTTGTCCAGATCTTATCTTAGAGCATTTGAAGTATCTGTTCACAGACCAGGGATGCTGTTGTTGAGAACAAGTGGTCACTGGCGGACAGTTTACCAGCATGAATAAAATTATACTCCCTACTGTAGTAACTCCACTTCTAATCTCGTCTGGCACCAACTATCCATTGAGAAGTTACGATGCAGTGTTTGGGGACATTATTCTTCAGAACAGAAGGGGAAAAGTCAAATTATCAAATGCACAATGAAATAATTCATACTCACAGATCAAGTCCCAGAACATGGAAGTCGTCATTTAAGTTGAAGAATGGAGCGATATTTGCTATCATTCCTCACAATAATAAAGCTAATTATTTCAAGATTATAATGTTCATAATTCCAGTGTGTGTTTTTAATCTAAAGCTGTTGACCATTAAGTTTATTTTTTAATGGTACAGGCTGCCAAGTAATTGTAAGGAATACAGCATCCATTTAGGTGTTGGCTGGACTCAAGCTATCAAAAAAGTAAGGCTGGAACACAAAATACGGTAGAGATGGGGTCATCTGGGTCACTGAGGTGTGACTACAAGACCAAATAACACAGAAAACTAGTATTTCAAATAAAACCAGCAAGGGAGCTTCACAAACTACCTTTGCTTTGTTTTAACAGGGAAAGAAAGCAGCAGTTAGAACAACCATATCCTTGAGCCCAACAAGGTTTTGGTCTCCACAACAGCTCTTTGTATTTGGCAAGTATTTCTTTCCCAGCCCCTTACAACTTTTGCTTGTTCACGGTCATGAGGAGGGAAGGAAAAAAAAACCAAAAACCTATTTAGAACAAGAATTGTTTTCAAGTCAGAATCTCAGGTATTCCGAATGTTACAATTGGGCTTTGAAAACTGTCATGCCTGACTGCAATGCCTGCGGGGGGAGCTTGCTCTGCTCCTACTTGTCAGTCTGAAAGTCCATGAAGATGCAGGATGGACAGATGAGCACATCACAACAGCTCACACACAGACTTCACCATAGCCTTTGGGTCATCCCTCCCCTTACTGTTCTTTTTCTGCATTTAGGGCACTGCTGTAGTCCGTCCAAGCTGTTCTCAAATCTGCTAGGTAAGAGTTTGCCCAGGTCAGTCTAGGCACAACGCTGAAAAACTTTCTGGCACACATGGAGTGTGCACACAGAAAGCCAGGCAGCCTGTTAGCATCAGTAGCTAGCTCAAGCCTGAATCTCAAACGAAGATCTAGAAATGCTGAGTTACACATCTTGAAAACAGTCCATTCGATAGCTGCATCTACCTTGGGTCCAACTTGCTTCAGCTTTGTTCAGGATTTGAGAGGAAGTACTGTGTTGAGCCAATTCCACCACCAGGAAGGAAAGTTCTTCCTCTCTGAATGTACTGGAATCTTTAAATATTCAGTCTTTGGTGCTACCAGCTGGTGCCCAAGGCATCTTGAGTCCCCCCTATCTCCATCCTGGGAACCCTTATTGGCCTGGTATTGAATACCCGGACCTTTTAAAAACAGAGCCCTGGAAGTGAATGAAAGTGAAGAGCGACGTCCAAAAGCTGGAAGATTTTAAGTTAGCTTAATCTGAACACTTTCTCGACCCCTCAGTGGCCTGTGTGATTTGGAGTAGAGCAGGTGTCTTCTCCTCGCCCTCTGGTGGCGTCACCCGCCGCTGGAGGGAAGGGGCACACAGACACCAGCACACCAGGAGGGGGCGGTCAGTGCCCCTCGGTGAAGCAGGGATCCACACCACCATACTGAACACTCGGGAATCCCGATCCGACTGGAGTACCGGGCTTATAGGTGTGGGACATAGAAAGGGGTCAGATAGGAGGGCCCAAGAAAAGGAGTGAAGGGACTCCCAGTGGCGGCTGTCGTCAGTGGGAAGGAAGAGGAAGGAAAGAGGACGTTGGTCGCGGGATAGGTGGGGAAAGTCTGGAAGGGCAGAGCGCCCGGAACCGGTGGGCCAGGACTGCTCCCGGTGCCACTGCCACAGGCCCCCGCCGCCGCGCCGGGTGTCCCAGGCTGTGGCGTACCACATCCCGCCTGTGCTGCGCCGTCGGCCCCCGGGTTCTGCTTCTTCCACTTGGTCCTGCGGTTCTGGAACCAGATTTTGACCTGCGTCTCGGTGAGGCTGAGCGACAGCGCCAGGTTCAGGCGTTCGCACACCGACAGGTAGCGCGTGGCTCGGAACTTGTTCTCCAGGGCCACTAGCTGCTCATAGGTGAAGGCGGTGCGCGCGCGCCGTGGCTTGGCGCAGCTAGGCTCGGATCGCCGGCGCCGGGACCGCAGAGAGCCGGGGGAACCGGGGGACGCTGGGAGCCCGTCCGCGCCGCTCTCCCCTGCTCCCGCTGCCACCTCCCCTGCTTCTGGAGAACCCTCGTGAACCCCCTGCCAGCGCTTCGGCCGCTCCCGCCGCTGCGCGCGCCCCGCATCCTCTGCTTCCTCCTCCTCTTCCGCTTCGGAACCTTCCAGAGGGGACGAGGGGCCAGTACCTCCGCCCGCGGCATCTAAGAGAGAAGGGCATGGTGACCAGAAGCCCGTAACAACTCTACCTGCCCGCATCCCCAAACCTTCTAGTCCTCCTCCAGAGCTTTCAGCTTCCCCTAGATCCAACTCCCAGTTCTGCCACTCTCCCCCACTTCGCCCTCTTCTGTCCCCAATCCGCACTTTATAGGGAGCAGATTCAGAAGTGCGGTATTCTCTTGCCCTTTACAAATCTGTCACTTACGTAGGCACCCAAAAAGTGCATGTTGGATGGCACCCCATATCAAGAAAGTATACTGACTTTATCAAGCCCAGAAGAGAGTTATCTGCAGTGCATTACGATATGGGAATGTCAAGTGCGTTTACTATTGAATCTCCCCAGTCCCTAGAAGCCTATTTTGGTGTGCGACGACTCCTAGCAATTAAAAAAGACGTTATTAAGTCCCCCTCCCCCAAAAAAGAGAAATCCCCCCTTTCCCATCTTCTCTCTCCGGCCCTGTTAATAGAGTTTCAGATTTGTCCGGGGCCTGATCGATAGATGTCATCTATTAAAGGTAAGTTTTAATCGAACAATATTAGGATCAGACAGGGAAAGGGGGTTTGAAGTCAGTACCTGCAAGCTGCGGGCAGGAGATATGCAGTCGCCAGTAATAGAATATCGATCAAGGACAGGGGGAGGGGAACACGGCAGGGAGAGACCATCCAAACAATTAATCCAGGCTCAGGACCGGGACCCAAACCAGGCCACCAGAGACGTCAGGGCCCGAGACAATCACTGCCAAACTTAGAAACGAGGAGCACAGGACTGTGCTGCATACAGCTTCCCCCAGGACCGTAGTCCCTAGGCCTTCGGAGTCCCTCCAAGGAATCCCATGCTCTTGTCCCATTCGGCATGAACCCTTCTGTCTTAAATCCTTCTAGCCACAAACTTTCCTGAACCCTTCCTTTGATGCCCACCAACTTCAAGGATGAGGTGGAATTGGAATGGTCTAGAAGAGAAAGCACCAAAAGCTTCCTGTCTGCCCACCCACAGCCCGGTTAGGTCCGGGAAAGGAGAAGGCACGGACTCTGCAGGTGTTTCCAAGTGGTTGAAAATCAGCACCTAATCCTGGCCCTGGTTGACTCATCCATAAAATAGGAGTGGTGTTAATGATACTATATACTTGGAAGGAGTTTTCATAACCTTTATCCCAGCTCCTAGTCCAGGTTTTAACACGTGGACAGGGTGATACATTTCCGTTAGATGTGTAGTCAGAGCTGTAGCGTTCAGCTCATTCACGGAGCAGGTGTTCAGGAATGCGGCACATACCTACCCTGGAATCTCAGCCCCATTCCTGCCTCTTTCCTTTTCCAAGGGGAGGGGTACTTCACGTCGCCCCCGCACGGGTGCGCCTTCTCTAGTTCCCAGGCCACCAGCAGCCATTCATCAGACCTTGACTACTCCACACACTCGGGTACCATCTTAGCTTGTAACCGCCTCGCATTCTTACCAGGGGTCTCCTGCGACCCGGGGCTGGCGTCCTCCCCTGCTTCCACCTCCACCAAACTTTTCTTGGCTTCCTGGACAGCTAGACGCACCGGCGGGAGCGGAGCTCGCGTGAATTTTTGCGGATCCAAGATGTCCAGGACAGAGAAAGAAATCTTGTGGTGAGAAGGGGCCGCCTTGGCCCCGCCATCCTGCCATGCCAGCATGCCCTCCTCCCACGGACCGGAGGCCGGCTGTGCGTGGTTGGGGATGGGCGCACTCAGGCTTGCTTTCGGCTGTGATTCGGTCACAGCGCTCCAATCTAGAACTGGATTTTCCCCGCCAAGTGAAGCTGGAAAGGGGGGCAAGGAGGCGGGGCGGGAGAGCAGCGGGGGGCTGCTTGCGGATTGGCACTTGCGCTGGCCAGACCCCTGCCACGTGCAGAGCGAGTTCGCAGCCGCCTCGGGACTATCCCGCGCGGCGCGGTGGCAGCTGCCCTGGACCAGAGGAACGCTCGCATGCCACTGCGCGCTCCCGATTCGAGGGGTCACGGTCGTAAGCTGCGTGAGCATCCTTCCATCCTTTGGAGACTCGTGAAGGGCGCGAAGGAGGCTACCATCTCGAGTATTCCCTCTACACACATCTACCTGACTGAAGTTTACTTATTTCTCTTGGAGCACTTGCCATCTGTCTTTGACCTGAAGATGTCACTGAGGCCAGGCCTGATCACTTCGCAATGATGCTTGCCGTATCTCATGCACCATCTGTGAGCCACAGTGGTGTCTTCAGGCCCATTTACTTCGAATTTTTAAAGACTCTGTATGTTTACAGTTTACAAAACCCTGGGGCTTTCTCACTCTCTTTTGATTTTCTAAGGATCCCTGTGAGGTGGGCGTGGCCTGGGACTACAGTCTCGGTTTCAAAGACCAGGAAAACGAGGTTCAAAGATGAGCAATGATCTGTCCAGGGTCTACAAGAGTCTGGGTTGGGTCAAGGCTTTTCTTTCTTTCTTTCTTTCTTTTTTTTTTATTTTTATTTTTTGCACATCCTGTCTTGGGAAATGGAGACAAAAAAATTCTCCTTGAACTGGAGACTCTTCTTTCCACCCCGAAGACCAGCAGGGTCAGAGGCCAAAGGGGGATTATAGGAAAGAAGACAGTGCCCAGCCAGGAGGGCCGCGGGCTCAGGGCCAGGTGGCTCGGCTGACCCGAAATGCCATATTCGCTGCCCACCAGGACTTCTTCACAGTCACAGATTCCATCATTAGCATCAAAAATTGACTCTGCTTCTGACCCCCATCCTTTCCCCGCCACAAGAAGGAAAAGGTTAAAAGATGCCCGCTGGTTTGAATTTAAGATCAGAGGAGAGATACGATTAAAGTGGCCCCATCTGCCCCCAAGTCTCCCGGGAGGACAGCCAGCGTTAGCGGTGAGGGAAAGCTTGCACTAGCCACACCCGAGGTACATTCCTTCCTTTTGTCACCGCTGTGAACATTAGGCATTTATTTCAGCGGCAAATTCTGAAGCATCCCTTACTTAGCTCCCCTGCCCAGGGCCACCTAGGACCCGCCGCTCCTTTCTTCTTTGCCCCATGCGGTTCCCAGACAATGTCTTAGCAATTAATATTGTCTGAGCAGGTAAGAAGTAGGAAGAGGAGGGGACTCTTTCGCACCAACGTGCTGGGGGCTACTAATCCTATCTGTTATTAAAGAGGCATCCTCGGGAGTGGGGGGGGGGACTAGCTCCTTGTAGCTTTTCTCATTCAAACCTTTCAGCCCCTCCCAGGGGTGGACACCACTATTCCCTGCCGACTTTAAAGCCTTGCCGAAATTCAAGCCAGCTCCAGTCCTAAAGCAAAGACAGATAGAACTTTCAAAGTGAAGGAAAGGAAGTGCCCAGCCCAAGCCCACCAGAACAACCCCCAGCCAAAGGGGTATGTGCCACGTAAAACTCAGGGAAAAGACAACCCAGAAACCCAGAGGTCCAGGCCCAGGGACAATGTATGCAAATCACAGATCCTTCTGGAATGCACATACTTTGTTTTCTGTTTGGATAACCCTTTCTCACCTAGTTCCCACATTTTTTTTTAAGTCTTCCGTTTTCCTCTCCCCTTCCCTCCCCTATTGACTCCAATTCTGTCTACCTTTCTGTGTGTGTGTGTGTGTGTGTGTGTGTGTGTGATTTTTCAGGATAGCTGGGAAAAGATCTCCCTAAGATCACCCAGGAATAGCTAAAACATTCCTTCTCTTACTCTTTTCTATGGAAAAAACATTGAGGCCATTTCACAGGACTGGGGGAAGAGCAGTATTTCAGAGGGTACCCACATCCCAAACCAAAGGACCAGGAAAGAGCCCCCCACACAGACACCATGACCAGACAGAACTTAGATTATTCCATTGCACTTCCATGGCCTTTTGTTATTGTTTAAATTATATAGTTTTTCCTTTCAAATGAGTCATCTTTTCCTCTGAAGTCTATGGTGCTAAATACAGAAAAGAGACCAAAAAAAGGCAGGAAGCAACAAATTGGAGAGAAAATCCAAGACATGGACAGGTCATGCTCTGTAACCTGAAGATCCTTAAGCATGCCTTCTTGTGATTGCTGTCTTCATTTTCTCACCATTTCTACTATGCGTGTTCAATACAGTGTGACAGGGAACCCTGGTTAGTGTTTGACTCTGGAAAATAAACAGCATGGAAGAAACACTGCTGTGTCTCACTCACTCAGCTTGGAGACAAACGCCCAAAGACCAGGGGATGTCTTTCTGCCGAGGGGAGAAGGAGGCAGAAAGTTTCAAAGAGCCTTTTTTTCTGGCCGCTTGTTTTGTATGGACCATAAGGCAGTGAAACCTCCCTTTGGGCGCACCTGGGAGATGAGTTGACCCACTAACATTCCGGCATATGTGTTATCCAGGCTATTTCTATGGAACACATATGTTCACATCTGGTAAGCCATTTTCCCTTTGTGCATTGAGTTGATTTGGCTGTTTTTTTTCTGTGTGTGAGTGTGTGTGTGTGTGAGTGTGTACGTGTGTGTGAGTGTGTGTGTGTGTGTGAGTGTGTGTGTGTGTTGTTTTGTTTTATTTTCTTCTTCCCCCAGCCTGGACATTAAAATTCTGTTTGAGTACTGTCTTTAAATTGCTTCGATGCTAGGTGGGTTCCAACTCTGACCTGTCCTGATGGCAAGTGATGGCTGTAACAAGCCGGGGATCAATATTCATAGCGAGTGTCCTGGGCTGATAACGCTATCCAAGACAAGGTTCACTATCGGTGTGGACAGCTGAGATATTGCACCATTAGGGATGTTGTGTTAAATAACCTGATCCATTTCTGGGACCATTTAATGAATTTCACAGCTTAGATAGTATCTTTAAGGAAATGGCAAAAGGCTATTCCGGAGGCACTGATGCAAATCAATGGTGCCAGGCTTCTCAAGCGATTGCATAAACAAAGTGGCCTGTAATTCCAGCACAGCCTTGGGAAACTGCCACCCACCCGGGGAGCAGGATTAACAATGGAGAGAATGTGCAGTGTATCCAGAGGGAGGGTGGGTGTTATTACGAGCTGCATTAAGCTCCCTAAGATAAAATCATATGTTCCTGAAATAAATACAAGTGAAGTTCTCTGTTTGAGACAGCCCACAGGTTAGGACACACATGCCAAAGAGACAGCTTCATCAGGCACAGCTGAAGGCCAAAGGGAGGTGTTGACTATGGAGATAGCCATGTATCCCTCTACTCGGGTACTCAACCTGTTTCCCCCAATCTATACAGTGGGAAGAAAAGAAAAAAAAGACTGGGCTTTTAAAGGAAGCCACTGGTAGAATAATGGTTTATTTACCTGACCCCAGGCCATCATTGCTAGAATTTACAATTTACATTTGGGGGATTGTTGCAAATTTGAGGCCATTAAGTTCTATTAAGTTCCAAGTCAACCAAAGCCACATATGAAAACCCAATAAAAGTAAGTTAAAAAAAAACCTGGAAAACAGCAACAAAAACCATAAAAAATACAAAACCACCTTGGAGACTTTTGTTTTGTGAAGGAAAAGTTCAAAATGTCACTTTCCTAGACCATGGTCTTAGCTCTTGGCTCAGCTGGCAGAGTTCTTGCCTTAGTATGCATGAACCAGTACTTGATGGTGCACACCTGTAATCCCAGTCAGAGGATCAGGAGTCTAAGGTCATCTTCCTTGGCTAATGGTAGAGTTCAAGGCAGCCTGGCCTACACGAGACTGCTTCAAGCCAGGCGGTGGTGGTGCACGCCTTTAATCCCAGCACTCAGGAGGCAGAGACAGGTGAATCTCTGTGAATTGGAGGCCAGTCTGGTCTACAGAGAGAGTTCGAGGCCAGGCTCCAAAGCTACACAGAGAAACCTTGTCTCAAAGAACAAAACAAGCAAACAAACAAAAAGACTCTGCCTCTGCCAGAAAAGTAGTTTTTTAAAAACAAATAAATAAATTATTCAAAACAAAAGCACAGACTGCCTGTCTTCCTCTAAACTGCAAACTACAAACATGTTCACATATTTCACTTTCTTGGTTGTTTTTTGAGACAAGGTTTCTCTGCGTAGCTTTGGAGCCTATCCTGGCACTCACTCTGTAGACCAGGCTGGGCTGGTCTCGAACTCACAGAGATCCTCTGCCTCTGCCTCCAGAGTGCTGGGATTAAAGGCATGAGCCACCAACACCTGGCTCATATTTCACTTTAAATAATAAAATTGTGTCTTTTGGAAATCTATAGGTTAAAAAAAATCAACTTGTTTTTGAGACAGAGTTGGTCTTCCTATGTAGCTCAGGCTAGTCTGGAACTTGTGGCCCCCCTGCTTCCTTCTCATCCTGAGTGCTGGGATTACAGAATCAACTCTGTATCTTTAAAATTTAGAGGAAATATCAAAGACGATTACTAAGCAACAGAGGGTTACGTTGGTCAGCAGAAGACATATTTATCACGTGGGCCAGGCTTTGGGCTAAGCTCTGTTGCACATTATTTCAGTTCTTCACAGAGGTTTTGAATCAGGTACTACTAGCTTGCAGTTGAGAAAATGAACTCAGAGGGGTTACATGGGGAACAGGCTCAGAATTGTTGGGGCTGGAATTTGAATGCAGTGAAATTTCAGAACCCTCTCTGATAATGAACTCTTTGAGGAAATCCACTCCTGGCCCCAGGATCTAACCTAATCTCAGCAGCTTGTCCTTAAAATTGCACAGATAGCTGAACTATGTAATAGGATATCCAAGAAAATAAGTGAGCCCGTGTATGACTGACTATTCA